TGTAACTGACTTGCCCATAGCTAGCGCAGGTATAATGCAAAGAGAACTCCATGGTATCATACTGTCTTTATGCCTCATTAAGAAATAGCTTAAAATTAAGATACTTGTTCTGTTAAAACAGATATATAGTGACCACATTTTACTATACTGCAAGAATTTTGAGTGCAGAGGCCATGATTTATTAACCTTTGAATGTACGCATGGCATAACTGCTGAATAATCCATTTCTAAGATGATTAAATGAACAAATAAGTTAACTACTGTGGTAGTTAAGTAATTCCTTAGCTATGGTTATAAGCTGCATTATCTTTCACACTGCCAAATCTTTAAAGGCATTGTTCTTAAAAACATAAATAATCAATTTATTCTGGATAAGTGTTAGAATACTTACTTTGTAACTTAAATCTTATTTACAATATAGTATGATAGCGAATAATTTTTGAAAAGTGTAATACATCTTTTGTCAAGTAAACAATCACTCTCAATTTTACCAGTTTTTACAAGACGATTGTTTAAAATGATGTTTACTTATGCAGTGAAGAATAATGTACTAAATAGCTAATCAAGAAGCATAAAATAGTTCAGCTACTAGAGGCACTGGGGAAATCTTACTAAAGGAATTTTAGTAAGAAAATTCCACAAATAAAATGAATAAATGAATCATATTAGGAAACATACTAAAAATTATCAAAATGTTCACTGTCTTCTTTCAGTTCAAACAATACTTTATGATGATATTTCAAGTTACTTCATTTTTAAACCATGACTAATTACAATGCCAATGCTTCCAAAACCAACAATGACCTCACTTTTAAAACATTCTTGTCAGGATAACATTTTTTTTCTCAAACATTACACACATTCCTTTTAGCCAACCCTAATATTGAGTTCCAAAAAGTTTAATCAGCTACATTTTTTTCTATCAAATAGGCCAATTGTTATAACATTTTTCTGGAGGAGGGGGAATGTTATGAAGAAATAAATGACTACTTTAAATGGTAGTCCAAAAAAAATGCACTCTTCTCAGGAAGTACAGCTATATTTGGTCACATATCATATTACTAGGAAAGATGCATATTGTTTTATATTTCTTCATTTTGGCTAAAGAATAAAAGCTGTATTACAAATCCTCATATTAACCTAGATCACGATTAAAAACACAAAACTGATCCCTTTATGCACTGATTACTAATGCCATTCTTAAACTCCTATCATGGTGTTGAAGTGGTTGGTTAAGGAGGTATTGGGTAAGAGTAGTCCTAGACTGAATTAACCTAGTGTACTTTGGTTTCACAACAGGTTGGTAGAATGCTAGTATTAAGATAACATAATTTAATGAACTATCATAAAAGGTTTTAGCTTATATTGTGACTATCTTTAATAAACAAATGGCATAAAGAGTTTAAGGGAAATGTTCATTAAAAAAATTAGTGTTTTGATTCAGGGATAAACCAAGTAGAATGACAAAATCTGGATAGGAGAATGAACACATCAAAATAAATATGTCTGTCCCTATTAAAAAGGAAATATACAATAACGTTATACTCAAACATTCCTCAAAAAGAAAGGAAAGTCTCAAAGGCTTCAAAGAGAAAAATAGGTTAAATATAGGTTCTAACATAATTTAAATAACCTATAAAATTATAAACATGGCTTTAAACATGGTTTTAAACGAAAAAAAAATGTGGCTACATTTTATAATCTTATGTCAAGTTCCTAAAATGCAATTCTTCAGCATGAATTCAAAAAAAGTCTTAGAAAAAGCACTGGCCCGTGAATAGTAAAAATAGCAGCAATAATGGTAACAGACCCACATTTATTAAATGCTTACTTTATATTAAGTTCATGAATTATCTTATTCAATCACATAATGATCCCATTGAGTTAGATATTATTTTATTATTACCATTCCCATTTTATAGAGGGAAAAACAAAAACCCAGAGAGTATATAAATTAGGCTTGGATCATACAAGTAATAAATGACAGAATAACAAAATTAAGTATACACTGCCAAACAATGACGTTTTAAACTGCTTGAGAAGTCCATTTCTTGTTTTTACATGCTTGAAAGGTTCCTATAAAAACCTAAAAATGTCTCTAAGGAGCTTGCTAAAAAGAAATGGTTGTGTCTAAGCATCTTTACCTTAATATGAGAAAACTGAGGCTAAAGAAAAATGTAACTTGTTCAAAGTATAGTGTAGTTAGATAAGGGACACTATTAGTCTTGTCATTTTAAAAATAAGGAGTTTTGCTGCTTAAAAACATTTAAAACTACTCAACTAGATGATTATGTCTAAGGTTCTCTTTCTGTTCTAAAATATGTTTCAACCTAGAAACAGAACTGTTTATCTAATCATTAAAAAAATCTACTTGTGATGATTGAATTAAAGTACCTTCTAGAAAATCCTTGATATAATCTTAATGTAGAAAAGTTTTAAAGATGATCTTAGATTAAAAAATTAGAAGTTCCTTGTCCCTTTTTAAATGACATTTATATTGGGCAGATTTACACCTTCAATGACTATTTTTCAGACTGTGAATTGGGGCTCACTCATGGAACATGAAATCAGTTTAATTATTTACAACCAGCATTTTTTAAAAACTGAAAGCAACAGAATAAGAAAGTGCCTAATAACTATATTTAATTAGTAAGGCTTAAGTATCACTTTATAAGATCTATCTGCTTATATAACTGTATACTCAGTCATGATGTAAAATGTATTTCTTGCATAAAGTCTCAATCAAAATAGATTGAAAGCCACTATGCAAGAGTGCCAAAGCATATTTCACATGTAATACATCTGACATGAAAAGAGTAATTTAATTACATTTTGATGATTGATGCTTCCAGGATCTATATCTAAAATATTTTGCTTTTTATAATTACAGTAAAATTACTGACATGAAGAGCCAACTCTACTAGACATGCAGAGAAATTCTAGGAATGTAGCCTGATCAACAATGTTCCAAGGAAACATAAACATAAAACTATTTGTGGAGAAACAAACACAACGTTTGAAGAAGGTATCTGAAAGAAACCAGGGGCTCCTTGGAGAAACGGGGATTCTGAGTCTGAGCAGAAAGATATAAGATGAACATGAAATATCTTACTGTGTCAGAAAGTAAAAAAGTTATCAAAGATTAGGTTGTTTCTAAAGGATGTAGAAGTCAACTTGAAGGCTTCCTACTAATCAAAGATGAACAATTTGAGCAAAGAGAATATAACTATAATAAATTGAAGCAACTCAAGAGTTCAAATAAAATAATCACTTCCATGATTGCTAGCCTATCAACTTACTATTCTAAAATTTGGCAAACATAAGAATCAAGTATTTTTTCCGTCTCTTTCCTCCACCAATTTTATTGTGGTTATATCCAGAGAGTTTATGAGGATAAGTTCTCTGCAAGAATTTTCGTTTAGAAGAAAAATGCAGTTTTCAAGATTTAGGAAGTCACCAAATTACAATAAAATAATAAATGAAATAATAAATGATCAGCAATGCTGCTAAAACCATTACATCAAAGATTTATAGAGGACTTTATAATGGATGGATCAGGCTGGCAACATGTAAACTCACTGATCAATGTTAACATTTCCAAAAGGGGGACAAAGCCTCCTGATGAATGGTAGTAGGAAGTACATTGACTAATACAAAGTAATATTGCCCTAAAAGAGAACCTGAATCTAATTAATCCTCTAGATCTAACTACTGGTTATAAGAAATACAAGGGCCATGAGGTGAGTGGATTGCCTGAGCCCGCGGGTTCAAGACCTGCCTGGGCAACTTGGCGAGACCTCATCTCTACAATAAATCAAAAAATCAGCCGGGTGTGGTAGCGCGTGCCTGTAGTTCCGGCTACTTGGAAGGCTAAGGCGGAAGGATCGCTGGAGCCCAGCAGGTTGAGGCTGTGGTGGCCGGGAGTGGCCACTGTACTCCAGTCTGGGCGACAGAGTGAGACTCCAACTCAAAAAAAAAAAAAAAGAAAAAAGAAATACAAGGGCCAGAAAAATAAGCTTTAAAAGATCACAAGGAAGCAATCACCTGAATTCTAAACATGGGAAATTCTATAAGATCTGATTTCTTCGATAAATACTGGCAAGAAAAAAGTGAACAGGAAATCGTAATAAACTAAAGAAATTTAAAACTCACCTAATTTAATATTGCTGACATTGTTTGGATTTTGATTTAAACAAACAAATAATAAGAAGACTATTTTAGAAATGGGGCAATTTGAATATAGACTGGATATTAGATAATATTAAAGATTTTTAAATTTTTGTTGGGTGTTACAGTGATAATGTGGTTTGGTTAAAAGATAAAATATTTTTAAAAATCTGTAACAATAAATCATGACATGTATACAAAAATTCAATTAACGGTCTGATATGTAGCAAATACTTTGACATATACCTAGTCCCTTTCCAAGAAAAATACTTCATCTTTCTGGTAGATACAGGCTGAGCATCCCTAGCCTGAAAATACAAAATTCGAAACTTTTTCAATACCTGCAGGATATCCATACTTGACTTCAAGTGATGGGTCAAAGTCAAAATGCAGTCAAAACTTGTTTTGTGCACAAAATTATTAAAAATATTATATAAAATTACCTTAGGCTGTGTGTATAAGGTATATATAAAGCATAAATGAATTTCATGTTTAGACTTGGGTCCCATTTCCAGGATATCTTATTATGTATATGCAAATATTCCAAAATCCAGAAAAGTAAAAAATTCTAAACACTCTGGTCCCAAGTATTTCAGATAAGAAATACCCAACCTGTACTGGAATTCCAGATCACTAAAAACACTGTCACCCAACTTGCTATCTTTAAAGGAAGGTATTAAAGACACCTCAGCTGGGTAGATACCAGACGATCATGTTTTTTTTTCTGTTCAGGATGTTTTCCCATGTAAAATGTAAACATATACACATAAAATACTTTAAAATATCCCAAAAGTCTAAATATTTATGTCGCCATAATTGCTGTATCAGGAAACTTACGAAACAGCAGAACTGAGGAGCAAGCATGTTTCGTGATCCTCTTCTTGAAGTACTGAACTTATTTTCTTTCCTGTAGCTTTACTTATAGATGTCTTAAGCTTCTTAGCTAGCTTTTTTGGTGCGTTGGTTATGGAAGATTCTTCTATACAACAACTGTACACTTCTACTTTCATCTGAAAGTCTGGTCCTGCTTCATTACTAAAAACAAAGACATTCATAAAGTTAGAAATTTAACTCAGTAGAAAATAAAATTATAACATCCTTTGATGTTTTCACAACATTTTAAATCAGCATTTGACATTAGGGAAATGTAACTAAAACCACTATATTTCCTCATACCCCTAAGGATGGCTATTATCTAAAAGACAAGAGAGAAATGTTGATAGGGTGTGGAAAAAAGGGAATTTTAAAACACTGTTGGTGGGAATGTAGAATGATACACTATGGAAAACAGTATAGAAGTTTCTAAAGAAATTAAAAATACAAACTACCATATGACCAGCAATCTCTTCTGGATTTATACGTATAGAAGATGAAATTACCACCTTGTAAAGTTACCTGCACTCCCATTTTCACTGCAGCGTTATTCAAAATAGCCAAGATACGGAAAGAATCTACATGTCCATTGATGACTGAATAAATAAAGAAAATGTGAGGGTTAGACGTGGTGACTCACATCTGTATTCCCAGCACTTTGGGAGGCTGAGGCAGGAGGAAAGCTTGAGCCTAGGAGTTCGAGATCAGCATAGGCAACATGAGACCACATCTCTACAAAAAATAAATAAATTAGCCGAGCTGGCTGCCACACGCCTATAACCCCAGCTACTTGGGAGTTTGAGGTGGGAGGATCATTTCAGCCCAGGAAGTCAAGGTCGTGGTGAGTTGTAGTCATGCCATTGCACTTCAGGTTGGGTGACAGAGTGAGACCCCCGACTCAAAAAAAAAAAAAAAAAAAAAAAGTCCCTGAATGCTCTCAGCATACTACTACAAGAAGAGCTTTAGGGAACTATCTTCAGTGCTGCAGTGAAACACTGAAAGAACTTAGAAAAGGAAGGAGCCAGGCTCAGTGGCTCAGCCTGTAATCCCACGCTTTGGGAGGCTGAGGTGAGTGGATTGCCTGAGCCTGCAGGTTCGAGACCTGCTTGGGCAATTTGGCCAGACCTCATCCCTACAATAAATCAAAAATTAACCAGACATGGTAACGCGCGCCTGTAGTTCCAGCTACTTGGAAGGCTGAGGAAGAAGGATCGCCAGAGCCCAGCAGGTCGAGGCTGCGGTGGCCAGGAGTGGCCACTGCACTCCAGTCTGGGTGACAGAGTGAGACTCCAATTCAAAAAAGGAAGGGAGGGAGGGAGGGAGGGATCCATAAACACACACTATTAGTCACCTTAAAATAGGAGATCTTGCCATTTGCCAGGACATGAATGGACCTGGAGGGCATTATGCTAAGCGAAATAAGTCAGACACAGAAAGAAAAATATTGTATGATCTCACTCATATGTGGAATACTTTAAGAAAGAGAGAGAGCTCAATACCAGAGGTAGAGAATGCCATGGTTGGGGGTTGGGGAGGAAATGGGAAGATGTAGGTCAAAGACCACCAAATAGCAGATATGAAGAATGAACAAGTTTAGAGTATAATGTACTGTACATGAGAATTAAAGTTAATAAAATTATATTAGGAATTTTTGTTAAATTAAATAGATTTCAGTACTTGTCACACAAAAAAGTAACTACGTGAAATGACAAATGTTAATCTAGACTACAGTAAAACTTTTGCTATCTATATATATATCCCATAACATCATGTTATAAACCTCAAATATGCACAATAAAATTTTTCAAATAAACAAACAGAAAGTTGCGAGGGGCCCAAGATTGCAAAATCTCCTCAATATGTGCAAAGTTTATGGGAACAAAGTAGGCGTTTGAAATAAGCTTTTGAGGATATATATTAATAAGACAGAATGTCCTTGTGTTTATTTAGTATCTATATGATCTAAGAGAATCACTGCAACGTTCAGAGCTATCAGCTTCAAAAATAGGGCAATCTTAATTCAATTTAACCAATATATACAAGCCTATTACTTAAAGAAAAATAAAATGCCCTTGTCATTTTGTTGCCAGTACTTTTTCTCCTTGTCATTCCTTTAAAAACCACTATTTTAAGGTAGATATATATGCAATTTCATAAAATGACTATTCCTCCAAAACAAAGTGTGCTGAATCTTTACTCTTCATTTCTTCTTCATAAAGAGTCACTTATAGTCCACCACCACTGTGCCTCCTCTCCCATCCCGGAAGCATAAACAGCACTTCACTACATGGTTATATAGGGGAAAGAAAAAGCAATTAAACAATAAAACATATATAAAGGGATATACTTCAAAGCATGAACTCCTTGAAGGTGGGTGCTGTCTGTTAATCTTTGCATTGTTAACTTAGCATTGTGCCTGCACTGTAGAAGGTATCCAATATATATTTGCTAAAGCAATATGCTGAAATTCTGCAGTTTTAGCAAATGTTAATTAAAGCTGGCTTTACCCTTTTGCAGACACAATGAACTACCTTTGCCATAAAATAGTGTGGTGGTGTGACTATAATAAAATATACTTTAGACTGCAAAAGAAGACCATCAGCAGATGTTGCCTGCAGATGGGAGGTCCATCAGGCTCAGAGATTTTAAAAATGAAGCATAGACTTTTCAAGATATAAATGGCCAGTCTATAGTTTGCATAAATCCAAGAAATAACTTCCAGATATTTTATAGTTTATTATTTGGCAACTTTTAAATATACAGTATTCTTGGTAATAACTAACAAATGTCAATATTTAGAGAAAAACCAGAGATTCATAAATATTGAATACTTATTAAAAACATCATAACAAAAAGCACATTTTACATTTTAAAACATTTAGAACATTTGTCAGGTTATTTTTAGAACAATTTAAAATATTTACAGGATTTTTAAAAAATTATAAATTATGTGTTATCTTCTCAACTAATTCATATTGCTCTTTCCCTGGGTGGAAAAAAGTCTGATTTTTGTCTTTGTGGTAAAAACAAACAATAGCAAAGTGACATGAAGAAAAGAGCCAATTAACAGGGTAATTTTGGCAAAAAAAAAAAAAAAAAAGTTTCAGTACCAATAATTGATAATGGAAATAAATGTATTTGGATGGTTTTTTTTGTTTGTTTTTTTTTTTAGCCTCAATCATATAAGCATTTGGAAATATTTTTTGAACCCTAAATTCCTTTGGCTTCATAAAGCTTGTAATAAGGTCTGTATTACTACTAATAACGCAGAACAATGAATTTTATTTTTCTGTGCTATACTATTACTGTGGAACACTGGACCAGAAGCCACAGAATAAGGTTTGCCATGGATTTTTTAAAATGTGATATGAGTAGCAAAACTAGTCCTCTGAAATCTCAACTGTCTAGCTCTATTGCTGAAACGGCACACACAAAGAAGTATATTGATTTTATCTTGATAGTTTTGTAGCTATAACATTTAGATATGAAAATGAAGACATACAAATCCCACACTGATTTAGGTTCCTCTTAGAACTTTTGAAAGTGGCCAGGAAAGACTTATGTTAGTTAAAAATGATTTCTACGGCTACCTGAGGAGTTCTTTCTGGTTCTGTATTATGACTACAATAAAATGAGCCAGTGAAAGAGCAAAGGCAATAAAAACAGCCCTGAGGATCACCCATCTTTTTTTTTTTTTTTTACTGTTTTGGAGTACATGAAAGAACTGCACCATAAGAAAAAGAACACCCCCAAATTTTATCCAAGTGCTTTTCCTATAGTATGTACTCCAGGATTATCTTATAAATAAAGTTGTTAAACTATTTTAGTGTTTCTGTAACTAAATCTCCCACATGAGATGGAAGAAACTGTTTTATGTCCAAATTTACTCTATATGAAATAATAGTAAAGGAATTCTGTTGTATTCATAGCTTAGTTAATACTGGGACTATAAATATTTATAAAAAGTTTAAAAATTTATCACATTCAATAAGTTATTTATTGCTAATATTAATTATAATATTTTCATTTTGTTTTACATCAGAAAACTGCAAGTAGAGAAATGGGCTTCTTTTGAACAAAGTAATTTTCAAAATCATTTTAAACATTTAAAGATCTTAATACATGTACCCGAACATTTGTATACCTAACCCTGAATTGTACCCCACATCTTTAAAATAAAAATAAATTAAATAAAATTAAAAACCAAAAATAAATAAATAAAGATCTTAATGTAAAAAGAATCAATAATTAGGACTTTCTTTCACAAAAGTAGAATTTTAGATCATTTTTATTCTCTGAAGATTAAAAAAATACTTACAATATGGTTACATTTTCAAAACATATATCTGTGATTGTTTTATCTACAATCACCATGTCAGTATCAAAAACTTTAGCTCCCATTTTGAATAAACAAAAAATAGCATAGCGTTGTGATCCTAGAGAAGAAAAACAACATTTTAAACAATCCATGTGATAAATCATGCCTACATTATGTTAACATCTACCCCGAAATGAACAATATTAGCTTAAATATTTGTTAGTACAAAACCATAATAAAAAATACTGATTAATTATTTAAAAAAATTTGTTAGTAGATTTTTATTTTCATGTATTGTATACTGTAACCCTTAACGTTTTATAGTGACTGCTCTGCCAGTAATAAGAATACCTTACCCCACTAGAACACAACAATTAAATAAAGTATCAAAAAATAAAGTTAAATATATAGGCCTCTCAGCAATCTAATATACACCAAACTCATAAATTTTATTCCTAGAGAACTCTTTAATCTTTAACTAATGGCAAATTACACACACACACACACACACACACACACACACACACACACACACACACAATTGCCTCTGTCATTTTGGTTTTCAAGTCTATTTAAGAAAAAAACTTTTTTTATTAGAAGAGGTTAAGAGTAGGCACATTAACAGCAACAAAATATTTTCCACCAAACTAACAGCAAGGGAGGAAACCACAAAAAAACAATAAAAAGTAGACATGGGAACACAAAAAGCATAGCTGCTGGGTCTTTTAATATGGTCATGTTTTAAAAAGTATTAGGTGATTAAAAAGCTAAATCCTCATTATTGAGAAAATGTAGCTCCTCAGAAAAAACTTATTCTCTTTAGTACTCAGAAAGATTTGCTTAATTCCCACATGTATTCCTTTGTAAAGTAAATTATATTGCCTAATTGAATAACAAACACTATCCTGATTTAAAGTTCTTCATATAAAACTAGTTATGCTCAATATGATTTAGTTTTTGAAGTATGAGGAACAAAGCTATCAAAATAGACAAGAAAGATAAAGGATTATCATATCTTTCCTGCTTTGTCTCTAGCAGCTAGAAATCATTTGAGGTTAATTTCCATGACCCAAGCAAAACATGGATTTGTGAAGACTATATAAAGCCATAAAATGCTGAAGGAAAAAAGATCAGATCAAGCAAAAAAAAATCTTTCCTTATTTCATCCTGTTTAAATAATCTCAAGTAACAAAAAACAAGGCAGAAAAAATCTTCTAGATTCTGGTCAAACAGAAAAAATGTTGCCATTACTTTTAAACCTTACACATTTTCTTTTGTTCCATACTTCCCTACCGCACCCTGAACTGGGGCCTCACTGTCCTTGCAGTTTCCCATCCACAACTAAAAGCACATTAGATACGTACTATCTTAATTAGTATCAAGTGATTGCAACATATTTATACTACAAATCAAAAAATAACAGTTCAGTAAGATTCTGCTTATTCTGTGAAAGGACAGCAACTTGTTTCAGTGTGGAAGCAGTCCTTTTTCCCAATAATCACAAATTTACTATACAGTAAAAAAATTTCAATTACAAATTAAAATCACACATACTTTCTTTATTGCTGAAGTGATCAGAGTCTTTCCACATTAGTGGTATTCGAATATCTATAAACAAAGGAAAAATAAATGACAAGTAATAATTCTGGTAAGTTTACCTCTCACAGTGATAGAAATCTCTGAATTCCACAGAAGACTCTACCCATTAAAACCAAGGTAAATGTCATTTAATAGCACATTTTCTAGATATCGCCTATGGTTTATACCTTTAAAAGTTATTTAATCTATGCAAAATTTTTGGGTATGTGAGGAGAAAACATAAATATTCTTCTTATAAAAATAATTGTTCCAGCTCCGTGTGTGTGTGTGTGTGTGTGCGCGCGCGTGTGTGTATCTTTCTCTTCCTCACTGATTTATGATGCCACCTTTATCATATATGCCATTCTGAGTATATGTCCTTGGCTATACATGCTATGAAGCTAGTTGAATCATTCATAAATTACCCATCTTTATTATAACTATTGTATCTTTATATAACACGCTTCACTAGCTTTTAGAAAAATGTCTTTTTAAAAAACACCTTACTCTCACTTGTTAACTTCTTTGTATTTTAGAACTATTTTGTCAAAATCTCCATTCCCAAATGTTTGATTAGTATTCTATTATTCTAATTAATTTGGAACTGATAACTTTATAATATTCTGTCTTTATATAAAATAGCATGATATATTTACCTTTGTATTTGTATTAAGGTTATTCTTGGGTATTCAGTGGTTTTGTTTCTTATTGATTTTACTCTAAAGATTTTTTTTTGCTATTACATTTCTAGTTATTGCTGGTTTTAAGAGAAATCACCATCACTTTTTGTATATTTATCTTGAATCCAGCCACTTTTACTGAATTCTTTATTAATTCAAATAGTGTTTCATAAACTTCCTTAGGTTTTATTATCTTCAAACAGTATCCAATTTATCTGTTCCTTTTCAATAGTCTCAACTTTTATTCTTATTATTTTAGTTAGAATTTCTAAAACAATGTTAAATAATACTGACACATTAGACACTGCTATTGTGTTCTTGATTTTAATGGAAATGCTTTATTGTTTTATAATTATGACTTGGCTAATGTCCTGCCAAAGACCCGACTTCTTCTTGCTTGACCACAGTTGCTGACTCATTTCATTTCACAAGTACACTAGTTCACAGCTGTTCTGTTAGGGTAGCATTAACTATTTACAGTATCAAGGGAGTAACACAGACCCCGTCTTCCTTTGCTGTACACCTACAACCTGGGGCAGCTTTGACCTTTCCCATGCCTAAGAAGAAAGGGTTGAATGTCAGCTATATAAGAGGAGAAAGTGGATACCTCTTATTTAATTCCCAGGTGGTCAAACACTGTCCAGACAGCAAAGGATTTGTAACCCATCAACTATGTTTTTAAATTCAGCTTCAAATGATAGAAGTTTCTCCCAGAGTCTTATAAATAGTTGACTTAGTTTTAGTTTACATCACACTTACTTTGTTTTTTTTGATGTTTTCATTGACATTTTAATAATAAACTAAGAGAATCATACATAATAGGACAGCTAATTTGATGCAATCAGGTTCTAGAAGTCTGTTTATCATCAAAAATGAAAACTGAGGTACTTGGTGAACTGATTTGGTTTAGTCACTGAATCTAGTGAGAGAATTTGATTTATTCAGTGAATAAGCAGACATAATTACCACAATGTCATTATGGTAAATATTATATTTATATAGGGTAAATATTTGGTGTTCAACAGAAATAATCAGAATAAATCTCAGTTATTCTTTTCATTTTTATAAAATCTGGCCAGTGAGTGGCAAAGCTGGAAATGGAAAACCTAGGTATTTCCTGGCTATTGATGTAATCTCAGAAACATGAAACTTTGTTACAAATATTCATTTTGGCCAAAACAAGTCACATTTTCATCCCAATGTCAAAGAAAATGGATTTATAGAGGTGAATTAATTTTTTATTTCCTTTGCTTTTAGAAATACACACACAAGATATTAAGTCTAGGCAAAGATGCAAAGAAATTACATAAGTATTCCATCTACTAAGAGTTTCGGTTCCTTAACTCAATTTAAAATTATCCTTTGGAAAGAAGAAACACAAGCAGAAATAAGTTCAATTTTCACACTCGAGTAACTTGTGGTCAGGAAATTTTTATTTTACTTTAAATGCTATTACTTAGAAGCCCCCATCTAAATGTACAGTTAATTCTAATATCACGAATTGCTGCAGTCAATAAACTATTTATTATGAAATGACAATATTGACTCTAATGTGGCATTTGAATATCTAACAGCAATTTAACATATCTCATTTGTATGCTGAGCAGTACCATAATAGAAGCAAGAAATGAAGAATTATATTTAACTATTTTTAGAAAATTCCCTTTAACGATCTTTAATATTTTAGTTATTCATATTTAAATGTATTAAAACATAATGAACAACTACTATGTAAAAGTGCTGTTTGGCAGCAAAAGAACACAAGGAGGTATAAAACATGTTTTCAGTCTTATAATTAGAAAGATAAAAACATAAATATAAATAACTATAAAACTAGCAACAGATTTGTATATATTCCAGTTATTTTTCTTAAGAACTTTTTTGCTTGACTGAATACAATTTCTCAGATTTTTGGTCACTTCTGTTCTTTGTAAAATGCAGGTCTATGCTCCCTTTGTAATGATTTTTGTTTATCTATGAAGACATTACTAAAAACAGTTTCTTGGGTGACAGGGCCTGAAATGCAGCAGCAGGCTCCCTAGTACATGGTTTTTGGCTAATGAAATAACCTAGTTATTACTTAAGGACCAGTGGAGGTATATATTGCTGATTCTAAAGCATACTGACGAGATAATACCTGAAAAAGTGCATTACCTAACTAGTGTACGCACAAGTCAGCCATGTATTCACTTCAATCTGTGACATCTCCAAGCCATTGTCTTTAGCTTCCTTAACACTTTGGAGAAACTGAGACTACACAGCATAAGTGCCATCTAGTGGTTGCAGGGACTCCTAACTATATTAGGAATTCAAAGAAAGGAAACATCATTTCTAGCTGGAATGATAACAGAAATGTTTTATAGATGAGCAAACAGATCTTAAAGAAAACATAGTTATTTCATGAGCTAATTGGGTGTCAGAAGCATAGGGTGTGTTGAAAGGCCAAGGAGAGAAATGTCTGCCTAAGCAGACAGCTTATATATAGGAGTAATAGAAGATACGGCTAGAAAAATAACTGGGTCAGAATGGAAAAGTGAAGAAAAAAGTTTAGTCTTTATCCTACAGTCAGTGAAGAGCAGTCATCCATCCAATAAATATTCACTGTCCAGTTACTATGTGCTAAGCACTGAGCTAGCTTCTGGATATAAAGTGATGAACAAAATAAACACAGAACCAACCCTTATGGAACATTAAAACATTAGTATAGCTTCTGAGCAGAAAAGGAACAAAGAGTCAAAAGACTTGGGTTTGCAGCCCAGTTCAGCTACTTACAGCCAATCAATTAGTCTCTGAGTCTGTAGAAAGTGAGAACAATTACCTTATCTATTTTATAAGACTGCACTAAGGAGAAAACTGCATAGCTTACGTGATGTATGAAAGCATTTTCTCAAACTAAAATTCTACACAATATAGAGCACAATGATGAAAATAGTGTTTTAGAACAAATATCATGATAGAGGTAGAAAAAATAAAGTGAAGGGGATATAAGCGGGGCATAAATTAAAACCCACTAACTCTAGTTACTTTATAGAATTTATTCAGCAATGTAAAATGATTCATCTACAACATACCTGATATGGCAATCTTTCCTTTACATGCTGTTCGTTCTTTACTTTCAAAATACACATCACTGTCAAAAGAAAAAACTTTATGAAATAAAGATATTTCCTAATAAGCAATTGTTTTAACAGTTTTTCACAAATGCCTAAATATTAAAAACAAACACATATCCATGAATAATAACGACTTCCAGTTAATGTAAACTATTTCACTCAAACTTTTAAGATGTTTAGTCAACAGCTAGCTAGTTAAGAAAAATACTTAGAGTCATTCTCTTTAATTTTTCACACAAATTTTATATTACCTGATAACTGTATACTGGCTACTCTACAATGAAAGCCTTTTGTGATCACATTCATCTATTTTTAAAAAACTAAAATATTTGTCCAGGTTCCCAGAAGCGTAATACTTGATGATTATTGTTTTATAAATTACATTTCTAGATTACTAAAAGCAGTGGTCTGAAAAAGTTAATAAGCTTATCCTTTAGAATCTCACAAACATCCAAAAAATTACTCTTTGATATATATATTTATATACAGTTAATATCACATTTCATTTCCCCCAGATTCCAAAGAACTAAGTATATACTAAAACAAACAATAAATTAATTAAGGTGGGAAAGGAATTGAGTAGCTCTAGAGAATAAAATGTGGAAAGAAAAATTTCATGACAACAGAAAAAAATTTCAAAGGAAATTCTGGGAATATAGGATACTTCCAAATCTGACTTTAGAATATACTATTATAATTAAAGAATTTCCAAATAGATATCTCCTACAAGATCAAAACAATCCCACCCTTGGTTATTTCCCCAATATCCTATTTCCTAATAACCTGCATAAAGAGATTAGCATTCCATTTATAGGGCAACATTTCCAAGAATATTCTTCTTTGTATGTTTTTTGGTTCCTATTTAATTTGGTTATCTAATTAACTGCCAGCAAACTTAATTAGGTACTTCAAGTAAGTGATAAGTTGGAAACTTTCCATTTGAATACTGTTTGATTCTAAGAGGGCTTCTAGATAAAGACTGGTTAGGAGTTTGAAGTGGGACATTATCTAGTTCATTTTCAAAGAGGATGCCACCAACTCACTGCTTTCAATAGGTTTGTTAAAAAGACTGCCTATATATCCATTAAGAAGTGTCCAAATCTGAAAACCAAATATATCATCTTACTTATTTACCCTCTACTGTATCAAACTATAAGTATTATGGATAAAGTATATTCCAAATGAGCTATAATAACATACTGATACACTTAAGTTGATAAGCTTATATGGGCCATTATAAGGTATTTATAGAATTATACACTAGGTATGACTAAAGTAATATCGTAGATTTAGAGCAATATAATCTCAGAATCTTGTCTCATCACATTATGGTCATATCTGGCATATAACTAGGGAATTCGCTCAGTGAAAAATATAAGAATTCATTGATTATTTCAATCATAAATTTAAATAAGAATAAAGTTCAACATTTTATATCAAAGTTTAGTTTGTCATGTTGGAGAAATCATGTTATTAGTTTACCATAGAGTAAAAAGTTTAATTGAATAGTCTATTATATGTGTTAGTAAAACAATATACTGAAAGGCCCACTAGAAATAAAACACAAATCTCTATTTCTTCAAATTAGTGTAAGAAATACAATATAAACAGTTTATTGGCACTTGCAAGTAATGTTTTTAAAAAACACCTATAGGAGCAAATGTATAATATAAATTCCTAAAATACTTATTTCAGTGAAAAAAGATAAGGAAGCTCTAATATAATGAGTAACTTAAGTATTATGGGATAGGTCATAGATTAAATTGGATTAAATTGCAAGCAATTGAGATTCTGAAATTCTGAAATAGAAGCCACCAAAAGCAAACTTGCTGAATGTTGAAAATTTACCACAAAATTTTCTCCCTCTAAGCTAGTCAACTACCTGTCAGAGTACAACTTTTCCTCCTGCAATTATGATTTGCATAGGCATTTCCAGTACTGGTTAGCACAATATTATATACAAATATTTTCAAACTATAATATAAATTCAATTAATCATGTGATCTTAAAGAATAATTAAACTTGACTTAAAAAAAAATGAGAGGAGAAAAATGAAGTAATTCAGCCTCAATTTTCTGAAGCTTCAATTATTTTCAATTAAAATATCTCCCAAAACTGTTATTTAGGACATTAAAATGTGAAGTTTTCTTAATCCAAATTGACAATATCAGTAAACATTATCTGTCTAATAATGTGCTACTCTAACAGCTTACTATAGTTAAATAAATACTTGTTTAAAAATCTGCAATGTTAATGCCAATTCTGAATGCTAGAATTAAGACAGTTAGCCTCAGAAAAAAGCAAAGAACCACAAAATTATCAAAACAAAGCACAGCTCAATAATAATGTACCTTATTCACACGAACCTAGTTCAGAATATTAATTTGATGACATGTAAATGCTAATTTAAAAGATAGAGATAAACATATAAAAGAAAAACTTTTAATTGTATTTCTTATATATTTCCGCCTGTAGGTAAATAAAATGACCAACAGAGGGTGCCAATCTGCTACTTTGTTGCTCAAAAATCTGTATTAAAATCGACTGAGTAAATACAGATTATCCCATCTTAAATTGGAATTTCAGCTCCAAACTGAAACTTAAAATAGCACTTCTTTGCCAAAATTAACAAGCTATAATGAGAAGTAGCACAATGATAAAAGTATTTTACATTTTCTTAATTAAGTACTAAAAGAATTCTAAATGGGATTCTATTATTTGAAATCAGGTTATAAAATCCTTATCTCTTATGCACATAAATGAAAACTAAAACACTCAGAAATGCTTAACATGGAATTTTAACCCATTCTAAAATTAAGTGGTATAAAATTAATAGCTTCATAAATATCTTAAATTAGGAAGATGAGTTTTCTACTCCCACACATAGACTTTTTTCAATAGACACCAATCTATATAAAGTCAAAAAAAATTTTAAAAATAAAATCAGTAATGCCTTTAAATACATGTCTTATTCTGAACTACTAAGGATACAGAGTTTTCACTTCCAACCTATAATTTTTCTTTTTATCTTTTAAAGTTATAGTACTTATGCAATAAACTAGGAAACTGGAGTATGAGAAGTTAATATGGTAATCACATACAACACGCAACATTATTATTTTGACAATGTTAAAAATCACAATTATGTTGAATGACACATAATTAAGTACTATAAATGACTGATTAGTATTATTTTTACAAAGTCAAACAAAACATTTCAGAAGTTAAGTCAAGAAGAGATGAGCTGGGAGTTGGGGAAGTAAATGGAAGGTGCAGATGAAGGATACTATTGTTAAAATGTAAGTTCTGTGAGTACAGGGATTTGTGTATGTCTATTTTGTTCACTGCTGTATGTGTATGTCTATTTTGTTCACTGCTCAATCCCTTCTAAAGAACTCAACAAAAGTTTAGAGACTGTTGAATGAAATGAAATAAGGATATGGTCATTTTGATGGAGTAGGTAGTAATCCAGACTCTTAAGTCTTGGGTTTGGATTTTACTCATCATTAATTATCTGAGTGAGTGTTATTACTTCAGCATCCTTATCTGTAACATAGGAAAAAATATCTACCCATCTCACAGAACTACTAAGTGAATTAATATTTTAAATGCATTCTATGTCATTCTTCAAATACACGTGTTACTTTCTGAGTATTTATATTGTGGGCATCAGTATTTAGTTTGGGACTTATGAAGAAGAGGCACTAAACTATTTGTTAAAACGATCAGTGTATGACTTACCAGTTCCTGTAAAATAGTGTTAGTCATCTAAATCAGATTCTCTTCACACATCCTACAAAAGCCTTCAGAGCAACAAGAAAAGCAAATAAAATCACCTATAGCATACACCAATGGCATAACTAGAAAACAGAGACTACTCCAAACTTTAATTTACATGTAAATCAGGAAACTAACATCTGAAACTATCAAAGCCAGCTCTTGGAGGCTTTACCCAAGTAAAGAGTTAGGTAAGCACTGTAAAACACAAGTAATATCAATTTAAGATCTCCCCCGAAGAGAAAATGGATGTAAAACCTGGTGAATAGCACAGCACTGCTTCCTAGGGAGTTAAAAAGAAGAGCTCAAAAATAGACACACAATGGGGGGAGGTGTCCTTTGGTGGCTTAGCCATGAAGAAAAGGAAAGAAGAAAGCAGATGAAGTCAAAAACACCAAGACGCAAATTAGCATTAAACAACGGAAAAATCAACCAACCCACATCCCCAAAGACATCATTTATTAAACAAACTGCTCTTCACAGTTCTGCAAGTCCAATAATGGAAAACATCTTGAACTCAAGACAGTATTCTTTCCTCATCCACAGTTTTGCTTTCTGTGGTTTCAGTTATCCACAGTAAACCATGGTCTAAAAATATTCATTGAAAAATTCCATAAATAAACAATCACAAGGTTTAAATTGAGTGCCATTCTGAGTAGCATAATGAAATGTCTTATCATCCCATGGGGTGTGAATTGCCCCTTTGTCCCATGTATCCTCACCATATATGCTACCTGTCCAATAGTCATTCAGTAGCCATTTAAATTATTAAATGTACTCTCAAGATATCACAGTGCTTATGGTTAAAGTCAACAGTAACTAATGCTATATTACAATGCCCACAACACTCACTTCACTTCAACTCACCAAGAAAGCATTTTTATCATCACACATCATCACAAGAATAAGGGAAAATACAGTACAAGATATTTTGAAAGAGAGAGAACACATTCGCATAACTTTATTATAGCATACTCTTACACTTGTTCTATTATTAGTTATTGTCATTGTTATTATTAGTTATTGTGCATAATTTATAAATTAAACTTTACCATTGGTATAAATGGGAAAAACATAGTGTGTATAGGGTTTGGGATTATCTCTGGTTTCAGGCATCTACTGGGGGTTTCGGAAAGTATCCCCCATGGCTTAGGGGGGACTACCATAAGCCCTTCTGGTGACCTCCTACCGTAACCCTAATAACTTGACTCAGAAAAATCCTACATGTCATTAGGGACAC